ATTGTTAGCTGTAATGACACTTATGTAGTTTCATTTTTTCATCTTCGTGTTTTCTATTGACTGTTTCCCCTTTTGCACTGTCATTTTGCACTGTCACTCAATAAAAGGAAAACTGTAACTGAGCAGGGCTGAAGATTAGCTTCTTTCATGGACCCGAAATTGACGACAATTAGCTGGGTTCACCGAAAAAAAAGCCTGGCTTACTGAGTTAGATCGCTTCATGGAAAGCCCCCTGTGCCAGCTCCCGTTCTCAACCCCGCAATGAATTAAACTACAAGGTGTCAACTGGAAACAACTGAACACACATGAACAGCAGATGAGAGGCTTGAGCTTATTTCCTTCAGCTGTTAATTGTGCTATCACTCTAAATTGGCCAAATCTGACGCCCTGACCGGTCCCCTGATTTCATTGGGCAGCCATTTAATAGGTATCATTCAAAAGCAGCAACATGGGGGCATTATTATATATTTCCACAGCATCCTCAGGAAGTCGTGCTGTCTGCGCTAGCGCTGTATCTGAGGAGTCACGTTCACGCTAACTTGACGCACAATGCGGAGGAACAAGCTGCTCCTTTTGATCTCAGCAACGCTGGCTTCTTTAGCGTTTTGTCAGGAAACCGCTCAGAAAGCTGACTTTCCCTCTGAAGTGACCGCTGGAACAGCCCGGCTCGGGCGGCTGGTTGTTGGGAAAGGAGTAAAGCTGCTCTCAGGAGGAGCAGAGAAAAATAATGGCAGTGAAGTGCAAGATGGGCTTATCGACCACTCCGAAGGATACCAGTCTGATCAACAGGGGTCAACGGGTAAGTATTAAAGCAGTCACGGGCTGACTGGGCCAGCCTTTTCCGTTGAGTTTGTCAGGCTTTGAGTGAATTGCGTGCTTTTAAAGCAACGAGCAGAACAAAACGACAGCCGACAGAAATGAATCGTCTTTAGTTGTAAGTCCTGATGCACAAAACGCATCCTCTGATTTCTGAGTTCATACCTGGCCTGTAAAACTGTAGGGATATGCAGACTTTCTTTGAAAATCTATCCTCGACTGACAACCTAATACTAGCTGTTTCCTTTAAGCTGTAAATGTACTTCCTTTATTAAGCAGATGGTCAAAAGGTAAGAGTGTAGGATAGGAACTGCTTCTTGCACAGACAGGCATGAGATGCAGTGAATGTATAGGGGGGAGATCATTTGGGTTTTTCACTGGTATAGGATTGAAATTTGGTGGTCTTATGGTTTGACACATTCCCCTAAACCCCTCTAAGTAGTGTGTGGGGTGTTTATTTTTTTTTATTCCTGGTTGTCTTTAAATGAGTGCCATGTTTTTGGTAGTTGAGGCAAATTTAACTTGATCACTCAAATCAAACCTTTTTTTTTTTCATGCCTATATGTCCCCTGGCTTTGATTTCTCATCTCAATTAGCACTTGTTTTATGAGTTCTGTTGCATGGAGTTGATGCTGGCTGGTCTTCCTTGGCATCCATTTTGGTTTTTTTGATAAAATGGGTGGTTTTCAGAAGCATCTTTTTAAACTTGATGCTTTAAAGCCAAAAAGAGAAACCTTGTGCTACTTTTGTCTTGTCTAATTGTCTAATGTCTAACACTACATGTTGCATGGTACAAAGCAGCAGAGTCCAAGTTGCAGCGCTTGAATCCTTCTGTACATTGTGGTGATGATGCTATGGCTCTGCGTGTTCAAGGATCTAGAGTGCCTAACTTCATGGTTGACAGAGGTGGGTTTATTGACCTCCACTGGTTTAATAGGTTGATTGGGCCAAATGGTGTAATATGGCTTTTGCTCTCCTCTCAGGTGAAGATGGTCTGCTTCCTGTGTCACAGATGCCTGCCAACTGTGGTTTCTCAGTGAAAAGGGCTCGCAGGGATGTTCTCCTAACTGCTAATTATAAAGGCTGTCATGTTATGCAAGAGGTCTGTGCTTATGTAAAGTTGCTAGTTTGGCATTTTCACAAGCTTACACATTCCTTAGGCTTAAATAATTACTTAGTTATGTTGACCTGTACATCTGTAGTAACATACTGTGCTTATCAGATAATGTTCAAAAGAAATTATGGAGCTATATAATTGATCTGTCAACTAAATTGGTATCTCAGTTCAAACTGAACTGACATTTGAATTCTCCAGAGCTCAGTGTAAAATGGCCAAATGAATCGTGTTACTGTCTTGAGCTTATTTCTATAAGCCAGGGGCTCAACTCTGGTCCAGGAGGGCTGGTGTCTGGTCTTTGTTGCCCCAACACCTGATCCAACTCCTGTTAATTGTCAGATGAATTAGGGTTGAGTAGAGGAATGAACAAATGTTCTGGACACTGGCCCTCCATGTCCAGAGGTCCACACCCACATGCTATAAGCATTGATCAGTACTCCCCAACACTGTCTTGTAGCATGTTGGGCATTTGTGAAAAATGGCTGGTAACATCTGCCAGAACATGCTGAGCATCTGGCTGTACTAATTGGTTATTCTAAGCAGTGTTCTTGATTTTCTGAACTATCTCTCTTGCAGGGTGAGACCTACATTTTGACACTGCATTTGTGGGGAGCTCCCATGAGCATACTCTGTCCTGCCTCATCTGTAGAGGGAGCCACAAATGCTATTACTCCAGCCACTGAATCCATCTTGGCCAGTGACCCTCAACAGCCTGGGCTGTTCCCAGGCTACAAACCTTATAAGCATCCCTTTTACCAGTATGGTTATCCTTGGGTTTTCCCCACAAGCACTGTACAAACCACAGCTAGCACCACTACAACAGCTACAACAGTCCCTACTGTTCCTGCCAGTGATCCTCAAAAGCCTGACTCTCCTTTTGATCAGATCTATCCCTTTGGCTATGCTCCTTACCGCTATTGGCCTTATTACAAATATGGCTATCCATGGGCTCACCCCACACTTGCCCCTACAGATGCTCCAACCACTACAGCTAGCACAACAACCACTACCGCTAGCACAACTACCTCAACAGCCCCTACTGTTCCTGCCAGTGATCCTCAAAAGCCTGCCTCTCCTTTTGATCAGATCTATCCCTTTGGCTATGCTCCTTACCGCTATTGGCCTTATTACAAATATGGCTATCCATGGGCTCACCCCACACTTGCCCCTACAGTTGCTCCAACCACTACAGCTAGCACAACCACTACAGCTAGCACAACTACCTCAACAGCCCCTACTGTTCCTGCCAGTGATCCTCAAAAGCCTGCCTCTCCTTTTGATCAGATCTATCCCTTTGGCTATGCTCCTTACCGCTATTGGCCTTATTACAAATATGGCTATCCATGGGCTCACCCCACACTTGCCCCTACAGATGCTCCAACCACTACAGCTAGCACAACAACCACTACAGCTAGCACAACTACCTCAACAGCCCCTCCTCTTCCTGCCAGTGATGCCCAAAAGCCTTTTGATCAGATCTATCCCTTTGGCTATGCTCCTTACCGCTATTGGCCTTATTACAAATATGGCTATCCATGGGCTCACCCCACACATCCCCCTACAGTTGCTCCAACCACTACAGCTAGCACAACAACCACTACAGCTCCTACTGTACCTACTTGGTATGATCTTGTTTATGATCCTGATCAGTATCCTGTTCTACCAGTATGGTGACTTATGGGTGCACCCTAAAAGTACCCCTCTAGTTGCCCTAGTGACTACATGTCCAATTCATCCAGTAACCCTTTCAGTTTCTCCAGTGTTGTGGTCCATATCTTTCACTGTCTGCAACTTGTGTTCATTTGTTGTACAATAAAGTAGTCGAATACTAGGCTTCATATTGGTGTGATGTTGATTGGTGTCCTGCTACAACAGGTTTCAGAAACCCTGAACTTAAGGTTGCAAGTTTCAGTGATTGTGATCTAATGTCATGTATAGATGACTCAAAATAGAACTGCTGTACCTGGAGTCAGATGTTATACTTCCATTAGTGTAGTGCCCCACAAGCTTAAGTCTGGAGTCTCAGGATGATGAGACAGGATAATGGTGTTCATAAAATTGATGGCTGTAGTGGCTTTGGCATGGAAACTTTTGTCCCAGACTTTCTCTTGTTTCTGACACTGGGGGATTTTTGTGATCAGCTGCACTAGACAAGTTTTAGGGCACTACCTAAACAGGTAGTCAGATCACATTGGTAAATCCTTGTCACTACATATCTTAAAGACTAACTAGTTTTTGCAGTGTGTTACAAATGATGTTCCTATTAAAACAGATTCTTGGATTTTTATGGCGAACTGTGGCTCAGCTGGCTTTCTATGCTAAATCTGCTGAAGACAAGCTTATTCTCTTGTATTAAAGAGCCCATAGAGTTTATACACTTTTAAAGGGGGCACATAACATCAGTTAAGTGTGGATGGTCAGGTGTCTTGGAATAGGGCCATGTCTCACAGCTACTGTTAAACTGCAGGTGTCTAATTTTAAACATTTCATTTCTATAATACTAGGATATTTTACAGTATAATGTAAGCATGTTTAAAGCTGAACACACTGATGGTTACAATTCTATACAGTTTAGGGCATCTCAAAGAGACATGTATATTAATTTAATCTCAGCACCTGCCAAAGAAAAGATACTGATGTATCTTAGTGCAGATGATATTGTGGGTTTCATAAAAGGCCACATCCTATAGAAAAGTACAACTACTAAAACAAATGCATTTTTGTCTACTACTATCCTTTGGCTATGTGTAGCACTTCAGTAATCCCTAATTGGGGATTTAGTGTGTTCAAATAAAGCAAATGATTTTTTTCTTTTTCATACTAGTACATGTGATGTCTCCAGTTGTGCCCCAAACATATTCAATATGCTCCCATTAATACACCATTTCAAACTGTAATGGAAATATGGTGTCACTCTTGTATTCCAAGAACTTGTAATTACTATAAATCAAGCACTACTTTTTTTGTCAAAAAAAGTAGCTGTAACAAACCTCAAGAGGATCAAACACTACTGTAGCACCTAAAGTATTTTTTCTGAGATTACTGGAACAATAACATAAGCACTCACTTGAGCTCCTCCAGCTGGACACTCTTCTCATGCTCTCGGCTTTTCAGGCCAACAAATTCGGAATGCATTTGCTCCAGTTCCAAGACCAGCCGCTGATTTTTACTACATGTAGAGAGAGATTGTAGAGTGATCCACTGAGATTATGAAAAATGGAAGTAATAAAAGAAGTCTGGAGTGTTGAAATCACTGACTCTGTGAGCTCATCGATTATCTTCTGTTTGTGGTTGATGTCATCACGCAGGCGCCCGAGCTGTTTGTGCTGTGATTCGCAATGGTTTTCTCGCAGCTGTTCCCACAAAGAGAATCCAATATTAATACTACCACAAGATTTATTTGCTATACTGGGATCAGTACATAACAGGACAAGCATTTGCGCTAGCAGCATTTGTAGACAGAAATTTGCATTTATGACATTGCCAGCACCATCTAACTGGTGTCGGTGAACAGTTGATTATCACAGATGTCTACATTTACCTTCATATCGCCAGACTCCTCAGTGTCTTGCTGGTTGTCTAGAAGGCTCTCTGTAAATAAAGAGGCTATTGAGCACAGATGGTATCTCTATGTTTAGCACAGGAATGACGTAGCAGCATTCTTTAAGAACAAAGTGGTTACAGGTTTTCAGTTAGTTTTCTAGAGTTTTTTTTGTTTGTTTTTTTTGTTTTGTTTTATATTATAGCAGTGTCCCTGTGGAAAAATTAAAATGATTCATATACAGTGATAAGCCAACACATTATAACTACCAGGCTAATATTCTGTGGATCTCATGTTCCTCAACCAGTTCCTGACCAATATATGTACGGTGGCAGGGTGCATTATCCTCCTGAAAGAGGCCACTGCCATGAATGGATGTACCTAGTCCGCAGCAATGTTTAGGTAGATATGTCATATTGCCATCCACATGAGTGCCTGGACCCAGAGTTCACACTTCCTCTACCGATCTGTCTTTATCCCACAGTGCATAATGGTGCCATCACTTCCTCCAGACAAACAGTGCACATGGACCTGGCCGTCCATGTAATGTAAAAGAAAACAGGACACACAGGACCAAATGATCTTCCACTGCTCTGAGACCCAGTTCTGACACTCTTTTGACAGAGGACAGGGTCTGCAGCTCCACAGCCTTTATATGCAGAAGGGTGTGATGCACTTTGTGTTGTGACACGTCCCTCCCTTAACCACCATTAAAAATTTCTGCACCACAGTAGCCCTTCTTTGGTTTGGATCAGCCTTGCCATTTCTGAGATGCTCCCTTCCAGACATGTCAAAGTCGCTCAGGTCTTTATCCCTGCCCATTTTTCCAGCACATCCACTACAAGAACTGACTGTTTACCATCTAATATATCCCAGTCCTTGACATGCGCTGTTCTTCTGAGATAATCAAAATGATTTGCTTCAGTGTTGAGAGGTCATAATGTTCTGGCTTATTTATGGAATCACTTGGTTCGAAAACAACTGTCAGCATAGTAAGCTGTTGACTGTTACATGTTGGACTGCAGAACCATTTTTGAATGTTAACACTGAAATGCGTCGATTTGCTTGGTGGGATACTGAACATAATACAGGACATACCTGAATTTTGCAGTCTTGCAAGCTCTTCACTCAGACAGTCATAGTTCTCCTCCAGCTGCCTCTTCTTCAGCTCCATGTTTTGCATATACTCAGTCAGAGAGCGGATCTTCGCTTCATGCTAGCACATATAAACCAAAATACAGTCAATGCTATAGATAGATGCTCTGTCCCAATTATATACAAAACACTTCTAGGTATTATGCTGACCAGTAGGTATCAGTACTGCAGGAAAACTGCTCAAAACAAGCTCCCTCAAAAGAGGAAAAGGGGTGTATTCAGTGCTCCCAGGTGTTAAAAGACCTCTTCAAACCATGCTTCTTTCTCTCTGGCCTTTCCCTGACCAAAGGATAACTTGAGAACCACCTGCGAACGGCATGTTCCACCATTTAAAATTGCAACTATTTTTGTCTCTGTCAAAGAAGCAACATTCCTTCTCTTACTTAATTACGCACACACTCATGTGCACTTTCTCTCTAGCACTCTTTCACTCATCTACACGTGCTCCCCCTCTCTCTCACTTTCTCTAACACTCACATATTCACACTAGCTAAATAGCCATTTAGCTCATGTTCACAGTAAATATACTGATGATTGTTGATTTCATTTGCATCTTAGAGTAAACTGTGCATTAATAGATGTTTCATTTTCACCAAATTGTCTGTCTTGGTTGTTACCAATATCTATATGAAGGAAATCACACTTATTAAATCCTTAAGAAATCAAACCATTCATATTATTTTTTTAGGCAGAAATTAGAAATTGATATTGAAGATTTGATTACATATAAGACTGTGTGCCTTCTGCCCAATGACTGCCGGGATAGGCTCCAGCACCCCTTGCAACCCAGAAGGATATGCAGCTTAGATAATGTGTGTTTATATAAGACTGATTTATTAAAATATGAGACTGATCAATTAATGAGAATGATTAATATTTATGGGCCAGGGAATATTATGTAGCTAAAAGTGCTATACACTCATACCATAAGGTACACTTACCTAGCTTACCTACTTTATTAGGATCACCTGTCTACCTACTCATTCATGCAATTATCAAATCGGTGAATTATTTGGCCGCAGTGCAGTGCATAGTCATGCAGATACAGGCCAGCAGCTTCAGGTAATGTTCACATCAACCACCGGAATGGGGAAAAAATGTGATCTCAGTGATTTTGGCCATGGCATGATTGTGGGCTGATTTGCGTATTTCTAGAACTGCCGATCTCCTGAAATTTTCACACACAACAGTCTCTAGAGTTTACTCAGAACGGTGCAATAAAGAAAAACATCCAGTGAATGGCAGGTCTACAGATGGAAATGCCTTGTTGATGAGAGAGGTCAATGAAGAATGGCCTGACTGGTTTGAGCTGATTGAAAGGCTACAGTAACTCAGATAACCATTCTGTACAATTGTGAGCAGAAAAGCATCTCAGAAAGCAAAACACATTGGGCCTTGAGGCAGACGGGTCGCAACAGCAGAAGACCACATCAGGTTCGTTTTCTGTCAGTTAAGAACAGAAAGCTCCAGCTGCAGCAGGCACATGCTCACCAAAACTGGACAGCTGAAGACTGGAAAAATGTGGTCTGGTCTGATGAATCTTGATTGCTGCTGATGGACACAGATTAGAGTAGTGTTCTTAATAACGGGCTTGGTGACTGTATATACTGTGTACTAATCTTAATAGTGTAAGTGTTGAATAGTGTTGATGTGTGCCAAATATTAATAAAATGAATGCAAAATATTAATGAAAGTAACCATTTTGTACTTAGGGGAGGTGATGTTGCTATGCACTACAAGTATGTGGAAACCCCTTCTAAGTAGTGAGTTTGGTTATTTAAACCACAGCCATTACTACAGCTGCTTATCCTCAAGTATACAGCTATGTAATTTGCATATGGGTGGGTCGTACTGAACAAGTCAATTTGTCAAATTTCTGCACTGCTAGAGCTATGTTATTGTGAAGTGAACACATCTAAGAACAACTTAGCTGCACAGCAGGAGGCCACGCAAGTGTATCCTTGGAAGCAAAACTCTACCATTTTCCAAAGTGCCTCTGAAAGCAACATCCGCACAAGAGGTGTCCGTCAAGAGCTTAGTGGATTGAGTTTCTATGGCTAAGCAGCCACACACAAGTCTATGATCACCTAGAGTGGTATAAAGCACACTGTCATTGGACTCCAGAACAATGGAAACACATTCTCATGCTTCACTATCTGGCAGTCTGGTTGATGAACATGGGTTTAGCGGATGGCAGGTGAATGCTACCTGCTGGAATGCAGTGTTCCATAATGGTCTGGGGATGTTTTTCATGCTTTGAGCCCCTTAGTGAAATGCTTTGGAAGAATTTGACTGGTCTGCACAAAGCCCTGGGCTCAACAGCCTTGTTATACTTTATATTTGTAGTTCTATTTGTAGTTCTATATGTAGTTCTATAGTTCTAGAAGAGTGGAGACACTCTAATTATTAATATTAATAGTGGAATCAAATGTTTAACAAGCACAAGTTAATGTGATGTTCAGGTGTCCACATACTTCTGGATTTGTAATGTACATAAGTTGAAATACCATTGAATTTAAGCCAAACAAGTTTTTTAAGTATTTTACTACAGACATTCTATGATTATTCTTGCAGCCATCAAAGGAGAAATCAGCTTGTCTTTTGACATTTCAACATTTTCTAGTTCAGAAAAACTCCTTTTTTCTGTTTCCTACTGTCAGACAATAGCGTGCCCAAAAACTTACCATATTATACATACTGCACTACTGAATGCACTACTATTGGTGGTGCTATTTTGTCACACTATTTAATATGGCAATGTGGAGTTTTTGTATGCACAAGAATAGATCCATTCTAAATATGCATGCTGGATTTTTGAGCACACTCAGCTTTGGCACTTATATTGCTGTTATCACATCAAAATATCATTTGGGAAATTCTATATATTGCATGATGTATAGACAAAAAGAAAGGATCAAAATGCTTCCAACAAAATCATGTTACTTTTATATTGCAATATTTTGTCATTTTCCTTCTTCAAAGCATTATTTTGCTCATTAGTATCACACTTTGCTATGCTGTCCTATTCTGTGGTATGATATACCCTGTACTTTGATGTCTCCTTATATCGATGTACCTGGCATTTTTGCACTATTGCATCTATTTAGCTATTCCTGACATTTCCACATCACTCCACATTGCCAGATATCTGTACTGTTTGGTGCCCTTACAGTGATTTATTTTTACTTCTTGTCTGGCAGACTTGTATGTCTTGTATGTGCAATACCCCTCTCCCTTGTTGCTTTCTCCCATGCACATCACAAAAGCCAGAGACCACCCTTCATTTATTTCCTTTCTAGGCAAAAAGGTCATTAAGTACAAGTTGTTTTTCAGCATCAGAAAAAAAAATATATTGTACCGTCCCATAAAAAGGGATATTCATGATGTTAACATTTGTTAGTTTAAAGATATCTGTGTGTGTTTATTTTGTTATTCTGTGTTGGGGAGTGGGTTTAGTTAGAGTGGGCTGAGTTTATCCTGGTGTGGAGTTGTATGGCTAAGGGTGACCTACTCCTCGTCTGTGATCGTATGTGCCTTTTCTGCTGGTATTTAATAAAGAAGCTCGTCTCATAGAAGAATCATCACCCTGTGTCTTACTCTACGTCAGTGCCACAGTATGTATTATCAATTTTTCAATATTTAGTGTGTCCACACTTTGCCTTTTTTGCAGCTTCAAAGAAAATGTGCAGGGTTTTTTCACTTTCAAACTTAAGTGCTAAAAGTCGGTTGCATTTTTTGTTTCTCATGATCCAATTAATCCCAACGCACATTCAGTGATGTTGAAAAATGAATTACTTGTATTTAATGGCTTTTGACTAAAAATAAAACATAAATGAAGATGGTATAGTACTACAGAGTATGATGCATTAGTACAATAACTTCATCTGGCAAATGACCATATGACAATAAATCACCTGACTTGAACTTGAGCTAAATGTACTGACATCTGAGATGTTCTTATAAAACCATTTGTGTTTGGTTTGCAGTTGGGACAGAACAAGTGTTCAGGTGTGAGTACGTGTTTCCTCACCTGTGATATCAGAAGGTGGCAGGACGATAGCTCCCTTCCGGTCTCCTCCATTTTGCGGTGGCAGTCTGTCTGAAAGCCCTCTAGCTGCCTGCAGCGTTTCACTACTGACTTCAGCTCTGACTTCACCTTACTCACATACACACACACCACAGCATACTCCTCCTCCAACACACCTGAGAGATCACGCGGCTGCAGAGAGAGAGAGCAGAGGTGTGAATGAAATAGTAACGAACAAACAGGAAGAGACATAAAGACAGACAAGTATAAAAGATGGAGAGAGTATGAACTGTGTACACTGGTGTGCACATAATTCAGAGTTAATGCTGGCAGCTGGCAGATGCTCCGAATGATACAAGGCCCACAACAGCGTATCTGAATCGTAAAGAAGGAGTGAGGAGCTTTATAATGAGCCTCATGTACATAACATGGCAGAGCTTTTGCACATAGCTGCTTATGTCCCTGTTTGTGTGCCTAAACACGCACCAGTCTGATATCATTGCTGCCCAGGATGAAGCTGAAGTCACTCAGGTCTTTCAGCAGAGTGTTTAGAACCTCAGTGAAGCGTTTCCTCTGCTGACCGCTTACTTCCTGCAGCCGAGAGAACTCTGTCTCCAAGCACATCAGATCGGTCTGAAAGAAAAAAGGAACATTCAGGGCTTTCTAGGCAGTCAGAGTAATTTTTATGTGAAAAAAGATGTCTGTAATTAGTTCTTTATTTTTTTATTTTATAGAATCATCTTGCTTGTGGTTTTTAACCTCTGCGAATATCCTTGTACTATTTACTTCATTGTTAAGTTTTGGTTGGAAACAAAAGGGTTAAAATCTTTAGATGGCCAATGAAACATTATCCAATAAGGATAGTTTTCTTTCTGATATATAGGTAGATACAGCCAAATGAGTGCTCCCATTGGCCAGGAATTCAAGAGGTGAACTACAGGCCTTATGTGTCTGATTGACCACTTACAGAAATAGAGACTGAAAGTGGAATCAACCAGCCATGTTTTGATTTGCAATAGGTGGGAAACAACATCACTCTAGGCCAGTGGTGCTCAGTCCTGGTCCTGGTCCAGGTAATGAGGGCTTTCAGGACCTACTGTATTCTAGGTCCTGAATGGTTGACCTGGTTGACCAGCATACTAACATCCAGAAGACAACATCTGCTGGTTTTGCTGATGATCAGTCTAATAACTTCCAATGTTAGTACTATAAAAATCATGAGATTTAAATAGTTAAAAAATATGAAGCTGTAAAAAGTTTTTTTGTAGCATTAGCGCAGAAGAAGACGCAGACAACATAGCACGTATAGATGAATGCTGTCCAGCCTTTTGCTACCCCAGCACGAAACCAGGGAAGGGGCAATGTGGAAGGACAAAACACATATGGACAGTGGACAAACAACAACTACTTCACTAGTAGCAACTGCAACAACAACTAAAAGGTTGACGAAAAGGTTGTCACAAACGTACTAGGTCACATTATTTACATTTTTATGTCTTCATAATACTTAAAACACTGAATAAAACATCTAGGGCTTTACATTGTATACAATGTTGTCAAATTAAATAAACTATTAATGGTTGATTCTATTTTTTGGGACATACTGAACCTCAAACTATGTTAAAAATGAACTATCATGCATTGCTAATTAGCCTTATCAAACTAGAGCACTCTAAAAAAGCAGCTGATTAAGAGAACAGACTGACCATTTTCTGGGCGAGGTCTTCTGTGAGCAGTTTGTTCTGCAGGCTCTTGTCCTGGACTTCCTGACTCTTCTGGTCGTAGCTGAGGGCCAGTTCCTCCAGAGCCTGCAGGACCTCCTTAACTTCTGCCTTAGCGCTCTCGCTCTCGGACTGCAGTCGCTCCAGCTCACACTGCACACGATCACTGTCCGCACGTGACGATGCCAATAACTACACATAGATACAGGTACACATATACACACAACATGAGAGTAAAGCTTTGGAATGAATTTGAAGATGTCTTATTTAGAAAGGACAGGAAGAAATGATAAATAGATATGATAGAAAGAAACAAGTGAATTCTCCACCTCCTCCTGATCTAGCATCTGCTTCTTCAGTTTCTCCACCAGCTGACTCTGCAAGTTTATCTCATCATCCTGAAAAAGAGACAGAAGTAGACAGCGGAACGAAAGAAAATGCCACTAAGGTATTCAAAACAAAGAATTTCAAAGATAATTTAAATATTTACATATATTCTTTTGCCACCTTTATCTACAGCCACTTAAGAGTGATGCAAAAATAGTCCAACTGTAAGGCTACAACAAAGATGTAGTAGGTTGTCTACACTTACATACTGAAACTAATTTAAAAACAATTCAGACCTTAGATATTTAAAAGAATATGTTATGATCTATTTATACCTAAGCCATTATGAGAGATAATAAGAAGAAGATAAATGTATTAAAAATATTATAATTTATAGGGTACTTTCTTTTTGAAGGTGGCTGTCCCAAACCCTAACCCCTAAATTGCAAATTGTGAAAATAATACCAGCTCATTACATACTAAGGCTTATTATTCAGCAACTACAGTTCAATGCAAACTGGCTGAGTTATTCTTAAGTCATAGAAGTGTGCAATAAAACTTTGGGCCCACCGGTGGGCCATGGTCATGTAAGGGGTTAATGGATAATATCATGTTGCACCTCCTCCTCCCAACATATCTATCACTGACAAAAAATGCTCCGCTAGCTCAGAGACCCTCCCTGATACTGTATTTCACTAAAAATACATCACAGAAGAAAATGTGTTACAATTACCCATTCATTTTCAGATTGTGTACATTAAAATATAAATAAAGTAAATAAAAGTTAGGTGTAATAAATCAGCAGAAGTGTTAAAATGACAGTGATTCAGAGAGGGGAGGATTTTTAACAGAGATCAGAGCTGTGTTGGTGTGAAACGTCTACAGTAAATGTTCATTTTGTTTTATGGTAGGCCTGATAATGAGTTGAGCTACAGAACTGCGACAGATTACAGCTCCTTGTCTGCATTGAGGATGGATGTTTAAATTGCAAATTACAGACATAGAAGGCACAATCAATGAGGGAGAGAGAGGAGGAGATGGAGCGATAGAGAGATGATGAGAGATGAGGAGATTTGAAGCATCTTTTTTAAACACTGAGAAACAGTGATCACATTCATCAATGTCAAAATACTGAAGCAGCTATTTTTATCTAAAATAAATAAATAAACGGCATCCAAACATGTGCGTGCACACTCATCTGGCTGAGGATTCCTGGTGAGCATTCACTCAGCCTCAGTTTATGGCTGTCCTCATCTCACTGTGTCCTCATAAACAAAATGTGATTTCTGAAATTTGTCTGCTTAAAGAGGCGTGATGTCTTCTGTTATCAGAGGTGTTACCAGTTACTTTTACTCTATTCTGTTTACTAAGGTAAAATTTTAATAACTTACTTTCATGAGTATTTTCAAATGAAAATATGTTATGGCAACTTAAGTATCTCTATGAGGAAAAGAGTCTGCTTTTTGCTCAGTTACATTTCAGTCATAAACATTTAGTTACTCATTCCTTTTTTTATGTTTAAATTCAATATGGTTAGCTATCTGGCTTTCTTCTGCATTAACCAGTTAGCCAAAAAACAAAAAGCATTTTCAATCTTAAAATTCCCCTCAAAAGCACAACCCAAAGTTCCTCACACTTTCAGAATATATCATCAGAAGGCGGGTTTCCTATCCTTTACACTGGAAAATCTCACTCTCAGGATTACTGTGGTACCACAGTAGGAGACATGTAGGCATGTTTACAACAGATGTGGCAATGGATGCATTTTTATTTTGGCTGGAGTGCTTCTAAGTAGTTTAAAACTTTAAGTAGTTTTCTGATGTCCTACTTTTGTACTTGCACCCGCTGCTCCACCAATCTCTGAATGCTAATGCCGTCATTAGATTTCAGATGAAACTCACCAGGCAGTGGGATATAGCTCATGGTTGACTGAAGCAAATTACACTGCCTGCTTTTGAAATAAAATCTATAGATGGCTATTGTTTAAGAAAAAAGTCCTGAACCAGCTCAGATTTGACAACAAAAGAATATACAGACTTGCAATTCATCTTCATTGAGAAGAGGCAGTTGATGTAGAGCGTGTGATGACAGCAGCATTTTTTCTAGACAGTGAGTTCCATGTTTTCTTGTAGTTTTTGCAAGATTACATTAATATTTGAATTACTTGCATATTTCATCCACACTGTTTTGGTACAAAATGGTTTTGAAAGCTTAGACTTATTATTTAGAAACTACTATGATTTATTTCCTAACTACACTGCAAAATATCTTGGCAAGTGAACAAAAAATGTTCAAAGGTTTATAGAAACCTGCTCACTCAAGGTGTCTTCTGAGATCAAACATGTTTGTCAATATATATATATATATATATATATAGTATATATGTGTGTGTATATATATATATATATATATATATGTATGTATGTATATGTATATATGTATATGTATGACTTATTTTCTAACTATATATTATAAAATTATATTTTCTAATTTCATTGGATAAACAAAAATGTCTACAAATAAAAACGCATTAGATTTTTGACAAGATCAAAGATGGTTTGCAATGTATTATGATACTAACAAGGACATACTGTGTTCCTGATGCAAAGCACACTCTTATCAAGAACTACAAGCTACATCAGATAGGTAGATAGATTCTAGATAGATAGATAGATAGATAGATAGATAGATTAGTTAGTTACAAGCCAGGTCCATTAAAAATAATTTATGTAGCCATGGAAGTCATAAAATGAGATGCGGCTCCAATTTTTACTGGCTGTGCTGCTGCTTTTTAATTTTGTATTAGTTTGCCCACTGCTCACAAAAGGGCAAAGGTTATGTGTCTTTTCAGATTACTGAGATTATATACACATCTGATTGGCTGGTACAAGACTTAGCAGCAGGGGGAGACAATTCTCGCCATCTTTCCCACTAAACTTCAAGATGGCAAATTACATTATTGTGGATTTCTCACAGAACAGCTGTGTGTTGTCACCTTGTCATCGAGCTGTTTGTAGAGTTGGCGTATCTGCTCCTCTGTAGCTGTGCTGAGGATGGAGGAGGGAGCAGTGCTGCTGTTTCTGGTGTTGTCCTCTAAAGCAGCATCTTCATTGAGCTCACACTCCACACCACACACACCGCCTTGCTCCACCTCAGGGACCGCCTCTCCTACAACACACATTTATTACTATTACACACACAAACACCAACCAGCTCTACCTGGAGGGTCAGCTTGCCTAAAACACCAACATATACAGACAACTGCTCACATGCATGTACAGTACTGTGGAAAAGTTTCAGGCACCTGAGATTTAAAAAGTTATTTTTCTGGTCAGTAAGATTTAATTTGCTCAGAAAACACTAATATTACAATAAATACAAATAATTTGGAAACAAGAATGTAGCAATTTCACATACATCAGTGCATTTGCTTAACTGGAGCCGAACTTTGTTCTTTAAATTAGCTCACAAGATATCAGCCACTTTGCTTCAATTTGTTTTTTCATTGTTCAGGAGGAAACCACAACAAATGGTGGATCTTCCAACAATATAATGCAATATGCCAGACAGTTCATAAAAAATCCAAAGAAAAGATCAGTCATTATAGATAATCTGTGGATAGCAGTGATGAATGTTTGAGGCATTTCCTTTAAATCTTTAAAAAACAACTCAGGAAAGTATGACAAAGCAGTGTGAGGTTGTCTTTAAGACTACAGGACCTTCACTCTTAGAAGTAAAGGTTCTATGCAGGTAAATTTTTTGTTCATGAAGATACAAACAATGTAAATGTTCCCTCAAAGGTACAGTGGTTTTAAAGTCCAGATCTGTGTCTTAAATAAGTTTTTGCAGGTGAAAAGTACATATTTGTATCTTTTCATAACCTAATGTTTTAAAACAGAACAATAAAATAAACAGCCTGGAGGCAAGACGGGGTGTGTGGAGTCAACACAACTAAAAATATAATTTCAATGGATTATGGTACAGTTATGTTCCCTGACTAAAGGTACTGAGATGTACCCTTGGGGTAGCACCCCAGTGACAGGAGGGGTACTGCCCCAGTGAGGTATAGTACCTTTTTTTCTGAGAGTGTAGAGTACTGTACAAAAGTCAGAGACCACTTATTTAATTTTTAGTCAGGTTATTAATTTCTTCAGCAGTTATTTCTGAGGAGATTAGTGTAGGATAATAAGTTCCTAAGTCATAGGAAAGTAACTGAAAAAAAAGGAATTTCTAAAAATTAGCAGTTCAAATACTGCTAAAAAGATCCAGAGAAAACTGGACCTGGTAGAGCACCAAAACTGTCACTTTCAGATAAACAGAACATAAAGCTTTTAGCAAATTCTTCTTAGAGAGATGAAACTCCACTCTTGCTTTAAAAATGAATAACTTGTACTTAATTGTTCTTTTAACTACAAATTTTGAGTGGAAATCTCTGATTTTTGCACAGGGCCATGAATCACATATAGCAACAAAGACTAATAATAACCCTAGACTACTAATGGGTTAAACACATATATATACACATTTGCACCTCCCTTCTCCAGGCATTACTGACATTACTTAAATCACAGAGATAATTCAGTTACAGGCACATGCTGAGAGCGAGACTGAGAGAGAATGTGTAAGAGATAGATTTGTTTCTAAAGGTCTCACCATTACGCCAGCGATTAAGCTCAGCCTCCAGTCTCTGGATGCTCTCTTTCAGGCTCTTGTTCTTCTCCTTCTCCTTCTCATATTTCCTCTTCCACTGCTCCGCGGTCAGCTCCAGATTCACAGAGGCTGTGTTTCTGATGGTCTTGGCTCTAAGGAGTAGGATGAAGAGAGTCAAGAGCACTTGAGACTAATGGATGTAACCTTTGGCTACTCTTGAGTATATGTTCATGAATTATTGATCTGAGCTGAGTATGCTTTTTGTTTTTTGCTTGTGTGTTCCCGGGATGTTACCGTTGTCCAAACATGAGCGTAGATTTGGTCTCGGCCTCGTTGAAGGAAGAAGGGGAGCAGCAGATGAACATGGTGGTTCTGCAATTTCCCCCCAAAGAGTCCTGCAGGATCCTTGTCATCTTACTGTCCCGGTACGGCACGTGGGTCTTCTGCAGGGAGAAAGGGCAAAAAAGGGAGTTAATTAAAACTTTAAACATTCGATTAATGTACATTATAGAATCATTAGTGGCAGAAGAAGATCATATTTTGTGGATGGCAGTGGTGCATTGATAAATGGACATACTGAATTTATTGTTTCTTTTTGGGCCTGATGTTGTTGAACTCACCGTTCCCTCCGCCAGAGCTGATATGACGTTGCCCAGTGCAGACAGAGACTTGTTGATGTTTTTGGCCTCATCCAAGACAGAGCCCTCTGCACCTGTCTTACTCACCTGAGAGAGAGAGAGAGAGAGAGAGACGTCTAAACTTGTGCGCCACATAAAATACCAGCACTTTCAAAGCACACAAAAAAACTTTCAGTGCTTACTTTTATACTTAAAAAGTCAGTCTATTAAGGTCAGTGAACCTTCCCTACATGTCTGCTACAAAAACATACATTTAAAATATCTCTAACCAAAGGGATTCGATACAGTCCAGTCAAAACAGCCATTAAGTACAAACTATTCATTTTTTGGCATCAGAAAAAAGAAAAACCAGAAAATGACACAGAAGCTTCAACAACCAAAAATCTCATCCATCTTTACTTTTATTACAGCTTCCAAACTTTTGCAGGAGACTTGTGTTCATTTCTTTAAAGAAATCTGCTTTAGATATTTTTCCATTACTTCAAAGTTCAGTCTTAGAAGTTGGTTGCATTTTCTGCTTCTCATGATTCAACCAATGCCAAACACATTTGGTAATGTTGAGGTCTGGACTCTGGGGTGGTCAGTCTATTGTTCTGAGAACACCAGCAGCTTCTTTGATTTACAATTTTGACAGCTACACATCCTTTCAGACCCATAACGTTGAGTTGTCTGCTCACAGTGGAAAGATGGACAGAAACACTTGTGGATTTTTTCAGATCTGAAACAAGAGTGGAGCTTGATTTTCTCCTCTCTCACCAAGGTGAAAGCTTTAAGTGCTGTTTATCTGATGGAGACAGTTTTGGTTTTGGCAGCCTACCAGGTCTTGCACAATTGTTAGGAGTTCCCTTTTGTAATAAATTTTTGAACTCTAGTTTTGGAAACTCTTGTTTCTTCACCATGATATGGCCGTTCCTTGCGCAAGTGGATTATCTCACTTCTCATAAATCTCCTCAGCAATATCTCTGGAAAAATGAATAATGTAATTAATGTACTTAATGTTTTGACTGGAAATTAAATAAATGAAGCCAAGCTCCCTATGAAGACTGAAAGGTTTTTAGCCTTTGCCTTAAAAGCTCCTACAATCTGCAGTCTATGTACTCCCAGTCTTTAAACAAGCCGAAAGTCGTCCAAGGATAAAAGTAAGACATTAACATCCCAAATTACCAGTAGCATCCAACAACAGGTGATATGTCAGGATTTCTAAAGCATATGACGTCAGAGCCACTCGACCTGGACAGTTTGGTATAAATCTGTCTGTCTTAGACATAAGGGATTTCTTTGACAGCCAAATCAACATCTTTAGCTGTATAAAGTTTTAAGGGAACAAAATCAGAATGTGAACCACTGAATGCAAGTGTACAGAGATATTAAGCAACATACAATAAGACCTATATTCAAGATTCAAGAGTTTTATTGTCATATGCACAGCAGAAACAGGCAGTTACACTGTACAATAAAATTCTCACTGTGCTCTTCCTCCATTCACCTAATATAATATTAGAAAAAAATTGAAAATATAAAAATATATACATTAAATACACTGAATAAGTAGAAATACACTAAAAACAATAGTAAAAGTCAAAAAAGTACAGTTATATGTGCAAAGTTGAAAGAAAAATTAAAGTTACATGTGCTTATGTGCAAGTATGTAGAGCAGCGGTTCATAAAGTGCATGTTGCAAGTAACTGATGTAAACAGTAGGGCTCTGTGCAAGTAATATATGTGGCTGTATATCAAAGTTCCAGATCTTCAGTCATGCCTTCACAGTGAAATTGAGAAATGCAAACGCTGCTCTCACCTTTTCACTCCCAGCTAAGTCCACTAAGTACAGTTTGCCACTCAGTTTCTGCTCAGTCTCCACATGCTCTTGTTTGATGTTGATGAGGAAGATGCTGTGACTCCTCGAGCTGTGCTCATTCATATCTGATGAAAAAAAACAACAGTGCAACTACATCTCACATCACTGGGGTTACTGAATACAAACTTAAATATGACCTTATAAGTCACGACATTAGTTTAGTTACTGTCCAGTTTAATTAAAACCCATTTAAGCCCACTGTTTTGTTCATTTTCTAAGTGAAAATAAGTTAACACATCCTCTATAGAAAACACTGAGTAGAAGATGCTGAGTTTAACTATACAGAATATGTTAATTTATTTTCACTTCAGCAAAATGTAATTTGTCCAGGAACTTTGGCATACAATTGTAAAGAGAGGTTGGAAAATGGTCAAGTAAATATGAATTACTGTTTTTGGTACATATATTCACATAAACATAAACATTTTACATAAATTATGTAAATAGTAGAAAAATATAGTATTGTAGTAATGAAAAGTTGGTGTGTATATACATATATATATATATATATATATATATATATATATATATATATATATATATATACAAATCAGGCGTAACATTATGACCACCATTATTTCTACACTCATTGTCCATTTTATCAGCTCCACTTAATATATAGGTGCACTTTGTAGTTCTACAATTACAGACTGTAGTCCATCTGTTTCTCTGCATACTTTGTTAGCCCCCTTTTACCCTGTTCTTCAGTGGTCAGGACCCCCGTGGACCCTCACAGAGCAGGTACTATTTGGGTGGTGGATCTTTCTCAGCACTGCAGGAACGCTGATGTGGTGGTGTGTTAGTGTGTGTTGCGCTGGTCTGAGAGTCTAAGCAGTTTAATATTGATGATGAAACTATACATACTGACAATGTGTGACTTTCACACTCTCTACACGTAAACCTGAGGAGCCATCAAATTCAAACATCAGAATAGTGGAGTGGTGTTTCACAGGAATCAGGCCAGACAGGACTGGATATGAACATCAGTCTCTGCTGGATTGCTGGATGGAATATGAATATTCTAATATTTTAATCTGATTCTGGGTTTCAAAGAACTCTGAGAGTTTTTAAACACCTCAGTGTCACTGCTGGACTGAGAATAGTCCACCAAGCAAAAATATCCAGCCAACAGCATCCTGTGGGCAGCGATCACTGATAAAGGACTAGAGGATGACCGACACAAACTGTGCAGCAGCAGATGAGCTATCGTCTCTGACTTTACATCTACAAGGTGGACTGACAAGGTAGGAGTGTCTAATAGAGTGGACAGCAAGTGGACACTGTTAAAAACTCCAGCAGCACTGCTGTGTCTGATCCACTCGTACCAGTGCAAAATCCCATAACACACCAACACCACATCAGTGTTACTGCAGTGCTGTGTCTGATCCACCACCCAAATAGTATGCTCTGTGAGGGTCCATGGGGGTCCTGACCACTGAAGAACTGGGTAAAAGGGGGCTAACAAAGTATGCAGAGAAACAGATGGACTACAGTATATAAATACATATATATATGTATATATAAAACTAGAATTTTAATTATATTTAATTTAATTGCTTTACTGATTTCTTTACTTATTTTACATTTTCAATAGCTTTATGCTACTGTTTGCTATTTACTTTGTTATTTACATTGCCCACCAGTCCAAATGTCTATTACACACTTCTATAACTTAGTTATTAATATCTTAGGATTAATAAACATCAAATATATTGTGAGGTACCTTGAGATGCCCTTCATTGATGAAAGGTGCCAAAAAAATGAAACATGAAAGCACAAATGCACCAACAGGGGAATTTTTGGGCCAATATTGATAACTGATGATTAGTATCTTGTTGTGACCAATACCAAAATGTCTCTGTGTGTGGGACAGATGTGTTAGCCACTATGCTGTTCACTAGTAACTATATCTGCATCAGTGCACAAAGGAGACTCCAAATGAAATTGGACTGATAAGAAATGAATACATGTTCCCATTTATCAGTAAAGAGTACATCACTCACAGTTACCTTTCACCCTTACAAAGGAGTTTAGATAGACAGATAGATAGGTAAGTGGGTGGATGGGTGGATGGGTGGATGGATGGATGTATGGATGGATAGATAGATAGGTAGATAGATAGGTAGATAGGTAGATAGGTAGATAGGTAGATAGGTAGATAGATAGATAGATAGATAGATAGACACTGTGCATTGGATGTGTTTCTATCCCCAGGAGATTTCACAGTTTTGCCCTTGTTTTCTTCTTCAATGTGACCTCTAAAACATCTGAAGTTATTCCAAAAGCATTGACCACTTTTGGTCAATTTCTTATTCCTATTTCTGTCATTCTCAAAGATACTTCTCTCACAACACAGCACAGCATGAAAAAGAACACTTGCTACGAACACTGGCTTTTATAGATTTAAGAAAAATAAATGTTGTACTTGTTTAAATGGGTCACTGCAAGTATACGCATATGTTGAGTATAAAATCACAGGGAAAATGTGGGCACAAATGGGCTGGAATGCTTACTGGTAACTGCCACATGGCGGTTAGCTTTCCCTTCATCAATCACATCCATCACTTCCTCTGGGCTGGAGACAAAACGTTCCGTGCAGCCCTGTCACACAAACAGTTCAGAGTTAAACTGAAAAGTGAGTGCACACAACCTTAGGTCATACCTGTCTGTCTCAGTCAGAGATTCAGTCATTAGATTTGCTCTGACAGTTCAGTAGTGATTCTGCATATGCACATGTCGTTGCTCAGGCTGCGACTGCATGTTTTTCATGCCACAGAAATGCTGGCAGCTCTAGACTCAATCTGATATTTATGTGAGTCAAGCCAGCGTGTGCGTGTTGTTATGTTCATTATTATGCTAGTCATGACTCCAGTCCAAAATGTCCCTGCGGCCTGTCGGCCCCCATTCCAGCTTACCTTAACATATGGCACTCTGTTCTTATCTTCGTGCACTGACAGGTTGGTCTTACTCACTGAGAGAGAGAGAGAGAGAGAGAGAGAGAGAGAGAGATGTAGAGGGAAAAAAAACAACACTCATCAGATTTCTCAGCACTTGACAGTCTCTGGGGAAAATCACAACCATATGATGGAAAAAATAGACGGTGAAAGAAACGAATGACAATAAATCAAGCAAAGGAGTGGAGAGGAAATTCAATAAGCAAACAAAATCAAATTGACAGAACAGCCGGGGAAAAAGAGGAGTAATAAGACTTCAGCATCACAATAGGGCTGTCACAATTCATCTAGAAATCTCTATTACTCTATGAAAAAATATATAAATTAAAATTTACCATCTATAGTAACTGTGATTAGTGGGTAAATAAGTGGGGATAATGTACATGGGTATCTATACACATATATATGGGTATATATGTGATTAGTGGTATATAAGAGGGGATAATGTATATGGATCTAAACACACAGATAAATGGGTATATATGTGATTAGTGGGTGTATAAGTGGTGATAATGTATATAGGTATATACACACTTATATATGGGTATATGTGTGATTAGTGGATATGTAAGTGGGGATAATAAACTCCTTAAGGTTTTTCTTACAGTAAGAAAAGAGTGTGTTTAACAAACCTGTGTGTTTAACAAATCAATTTTTTAATTTAAGTGGCAGATTTACTAAGAGAGGTGCTAATTACCAACAGTCTGCCCACAGTCTTGCGCCGGGGGGTGGGGGGGTTGGGGGGGGGGCAATTTAGCACATTATCTACCAAGAACTTCCATGCAAATAAACACTGGCACAACTTTATCTCATGGCCAGCACAACATAACCATGTGGTCAGCTCTTGTGCTTTTTGAATGGAGTGATGCAAAACATTTACTAATATGGTAATCTGTGATAGTCCCAGCTCACAACATACATCCTCACTCCCAGATAGTCTAAGCAGTTTAATATTGATGATGAAACTACACATTCTGACAATGTGTGACTTTCACATTCTCTACACATGAACAGCCATCGAATTCAAACATCAGAATAATGGAGTGGTGTTTCACAGGAATCAGGCCTGACAGGACTGGTTATGAACATCAGTCTCTGCTGGATTGCTGTATGCAATATTAATATTTTAATATTTTAATATTTTAATCTGATTCTGGGTTTCAAAGAACTCCAAATAACAGCTTCTCTCTCTTTCTCTCCCTCCCCCCCTCTCTGTCGCTGTCTGAGTGTTTGTGTGACTCAAAGCCAAATCTCCACTCTGAATGCAGATGAGCAGCTTCGTTCTGTCACAGCACTTTTTCTCAACTCATTATTATCATAATGCAACATGAACATTTACTGTATTCCTGTACTTCCCCGTGTTCTACATCTCTCTCTGTATCCTCTCTCTCTAACTCTCTCTCTCTCTCTGTCTCTCTTTTCATGCTTAATTGGATTAAAATGAAGTGTGCTTTCAATGCTGCTTGCATTTAAACAATTTCTTCACCGCTATACACAAACGTACCATCTAGCAGGTCTCGAATTTTATCCATGTAGATTTCAAAGTAAGAAACCTGAAGGAAAAAGGAGGTAAACATGTCAATGTTCTGCACAAATAAGCACTGTGCTGTATAAATACACATTATTATTACTATTATTATTATGATTATTATTATGATTATTATCATATTGCTAATCAATACTAAACAAATCTCCTCTGGGGGGTGTGGCCAGATCTTTATTTTTCTTTCAAAAGCCTAACATTGTATACCATAAAACTGTTCATATCCTATTCTGGGTATATATTTTAATTCTTAGCATAATTTTATTATGCTATCTATTCTTTAAAATTTATATAACGTACGCCTACCATCATAACAATCATCGCAAAGAAGCAAATGCAAAACATCTCTCTCTACTAATGATTGCTACAACAAAATCAACCAACCTGAGCGATTATGCCTCACAGGAAATTTCACTAAATTCAATTAGAAATCAAAATGATTTAAAATGATCAATACTTTGATATGAAACTCCAAGTTTTCATCCATGGCAAAAATATGGTTGAAGATGTCATCAGCGATCCTTGGAATAATGCCCATGCTGTTGGGATCATGGAGCTTCCCCTGCGCAAAAGAAACAAACAAACAACTATTGTTTAAGGAGCACTGCTGTTTTACTTTGGACCAGTAGACTACTATAAAAGTTTGGAGTCACTTGTTATATTAGTAATTTTGTGTTATTTTACATATACAAATAATTGTACAATGTAGAGTTCAGTGTTATAAACTACATACCTAAAGGTATTTATAGTTGTTTTAGTCAACATTTCAATGATATCATGCAGTATACAGGAAAATAAATTTGTTTTGTTTGTTAACAGTACTGTTTTTTTCAATAATGTTATCTACCTAAAAATTTGACCATCAGTTTTCAAATACAACGCACTCGGGTTCAATTTATTATTACTTCATTCCTGAAGTTGTATAGCTTTTCTTTGTCATTATGGAATCACCCACAGCTCTGTTCAGCATTCTGGACATACTCTTTCATTTCTCAAATCTACACTTTGTAATGTGGATTTGGAGATTTGGAGACCTCTCTGGTGGAAATATGCAATCACACACAATGTGTGAAAGCACATTTTGAATTTGATTTGGTGCATTGCGAGTGCATGTGATGTTAATATGTAATATAGAACTCATGATTCTAAACAGAACCACTGCCTTTATAACCCTTGAATAACTATCTTTTTAAAGATTGTACTTCTTTCAATTTTAAATAAAAATCTTACATAATAGAGCTTTAACTTTTTCCAGCTTCCTGCAAATTATTTAAAGCTATAAAATTACATAATACTAGCATATTGAATTTGTTTTACATACTTATCTGACCCTACACTGGTGTTAAATGAATGAAAACATTGATTCCAAGCTTTTAAACACTGGTAAGTATGATGACAAAGAAGGCTACTCTCTTACCTCCATGGTGTGTGTTTTGCCTGAGGACGTTTGTCCATATGCAAAGATGGTGCCATTGTATCCACCCAGCACATCTGATAAAACAGACAAAAACATACATTTAACTTCTGCTTTTGGGAATACTAAACATATATATATATATATATATATATATATATATATATATATATATATATATATATATATAGAATACAAAGTCATAAAAATAGCAAAGTTGCCAGGATAAAACTGTTGAATAACAGTAAACATTTGTAAATGCAACCATAGTGAAAATGTGTATATTTTCATTTATTTGTATTTCTTCATGTAAAGCAATTTAATGTTTTAATAATCCTATTTAAACTGTGACTTTTTAATATGGGATCATTCGTGCATGAACCTCATAATTATGGTAAGCAATTTTCCAGACATGACAGGAAATTAATTTTCTTGGTTGAAATACTGTCAATAAACAGAAAATGTCAAGATTTCCACCTTTACTGCTGTATTGCTGTTACTTTAAAGAGATGATTGCTTATCTGTGATCTCAAAAATAAATTCTTGAATTAGAAAAAAAAAACAAGAGAAATGAATGATTTTATTGGATTTTGGCAAAGAAAAGACATTTTAGTGTACCAGAGCAGCTACTCTATTCGCTTTCTTATCATTAGACCGATAATTACTGTAATACCTGCTGAACTGACTGACATGACGTGTACAACAGTTCTCACTGAAAAACTCTAATTTTATAATAATAAAGCAGAAGCTCTTTATTTACCTCATTCATAATATTTATAAGTGTAATAATCAGACTAATTGGAAATCTTTTAATACAGTATATCCCTCAATACAACCAGCATCCACTGTCCCACAATGAGCTGAAGAAGGAAACAGAGCAGAGCAAACAGGCCTTTTATTAAAAAACAGCTACTTTTACAAATTAACCGTTCTCCTAAAATATAGAAATTCAGTTTCATTAAAGAAACTTCTTTAAATTCTCAAAATGAACTATGAAAGAAGAACATGAAGAAGCTGCCTTCACTAATAAAGTGTAAGAAAGCTCCTTTTTCTCCTGTGTTTAGACTGAACAGTGTGGCTGCAGGAAGCAGATCATTTCATGCGTGTGAGCAAGAAAAGTGAAAAGCAGACAGACTTTCATCTAAACCTGCCAGAAAAAGAGAGAGAGAGAGGGAGAGAGAGAAAGAGAGAGAGAGAGAGACAATGCAGCAGACAATGGCGGAACAGTGCGGTAATCCATGCTGAGGTTATCTCCTCTAGGCAGCTGGTCAACACACATCCACTCCTGTTCTCTTTTTTGGTTTTATGTTCCAACACTTGTGCCTCTCTTTTTTATTTACAAAGGTTACTCTCTCTCTCTCTCTCTCTCTCTCTCTCTCTCTCTCTCTCCCTCTCCCTCTCCCTCTCTCTCTCTCTCTCTCTCTCTCTCTCCCTCTCCCTCTCCCTCTCCCTCTCTCTCTCTCTCTCTCTCTCTCTCTCTCTCTCTCTCTCTCTGCTTTCGTCTCATTCAATTAAATTCAATTCAATTCAGAGTAGCTTCACTGGAATAACTGTCTCAGAAAATGTCAGCTGTTTTAAAGCTGAACAAATTCTGTGAACAAAAATTAAATAAAAAAAAAAATAATAGTAATAATAATTCAGAAAATAAGTAAGGCTACTAAATTAAATACTACTACTAATAATAGTACTAATGATAATGCACACACACACACACACACACACACACACACACACACACACATTTTCTAAGCCGCTTATAGTTCTGCGTCACAGGGGAGCTGGAGTCTATCCCAGCAGTCACTGGGCGGAAGGCAGGAAACACCCTCGCCAGTCCATCACAGGGCAGACACACAAACTCCACACAGAAAGGATCGTGGCCCTTCTAGCTATTAGGTGACAGCGCTACCCACTGCGCCACCATGCCGCCCATAATACTACTACTACCGCTACTAATAATAATAATAATAACAATAATAATAATAATAGAAAGCTGTAAACCAGGATATATAGTATTTACATTCTTATATACAGTGGTCTGATGAAGGTCGGTGGGGACAGGGTGTGGAATTTTTCTTTCGTTCTCTCTCCCATTTTTTGTCTCTCTCTCGCTCTCCCTCTCTTGCTTTCTCACTCTTTGTGTCTTTCTCTTCTTCTCTTTCTATTTCTCTCTCTCTTTCTCTTTTTCCCTTTCTATTTCTCTCTCTCTCTTTCTCTTTTTCCCTTTCTATTTATATCTCTCTTTGCTTTTGTCTCTTTTATATGGTGAGCGGTTCGATGAGGGCCAGTTGGGTGAGGGTGTGGAGTTTTTTTTTGTCTGTTTTACTCCCTCCTCTCTCTCTCTCTCTCTCTCTCTCTCTCTCTCTCTCTCTCTCTCTCTCTCTCTCTCTCTCTCTCTGTCATTAGCTCTCTTTTTGCTCTTGCTTTTGCTCTCTCTGTTTCTTTTCTCTCTCTCTCATCCTCTCTCTCTCTCTCTTTCCTTCTCTCTCTTTTTTGAACTGAAGCCATTCTCTGACTGATGCACTGCAGTATAACAGTGGCTGACAGACAAATGGAAAAAGACAGAAGACAGGACTATAGAGAGATACAGTGAAGAAAGAGAAAAAAATGTGTCATCATTGCACTTCTAAGCAAGAAAGAAGAAAGTCAAAAAAAAGAGGAGAATTTGGGGAGAGACGAGTAGTGAGTGTAATGCCCTGGTTTTTTAAATACATAATTTATCTACACCCGCTGCGAGTACCAAGATAAACAGTACTGATATACAAACTCAGAAACACACATTAACACACACATTACCTACCTTCAGTAGGCTTTCCCTTATTTTTACTATACTCCACATTTTAGAATAATAGTGCAGACATCACACATATGGGTTTGTGCAGTGACCAGAAGAAATGAAAACCAAACCAAAGCTATCTTGTAGAGATTCACCAATATGATCATTGTGGGCTGATCAATACTGACACATATCTATTAATAAAATACAAAACTGGGATTAAATCTGTCTGTGCTAGCATTACAGAGTAGGCCAGTCGCAGTTATTACATAGTCATCTTATTGCATTTAGTCATATGTTTACATCACAACAAACAGAACAGGGTGCATTTTCATCATTTAGTTTGAGCCAAGAGAAGGTAATTAAAAGAAAGCAGAAAATGCACTTATTGAGACACTCATTAAGTTCTTACCTCTGAGTTGGTGCTATTACACCTTTAGAGGGCAGCAGCGAGTAACGTTTGTTTATTTGAGCTGTGTCTGTCATCAGTTGGGAGCTATTAAATATCGACAGCTAAACAGCAAGACAGCTAATCAGTTTTACTTTAATATTTTAAAATAATGAACAAGGAGAGACATTTTAATTGTTAATTGCAATTATTTATATGGCGATCAATCATCAGCTAAAATTTCATGATGGGCCAACTACAGATAAATGCTTCTACAGGGTTACAAATATTTTCTGTAGGGTTACAAATGCAGTAAAGTGAATATAATGCAGACATTTTAGCAAAGTAACCCAGTGTCACCTAAAGATTTTTTTATATCTGCTGATACTGATTTGATTCTGATTCTCATCATTGTGCATCCCTACTATCTTCTGTTTTAGATTCTTAAAAGTAGCCCCCCATTATCCTAATGTAGCTTTACCCACTCTTCTATCTATGGGCGCTCCATGAAGAGCCTCCAAGAAACTTTTCCAAAAGAAAAATTCACATATGCTGCATTGATGCTGCTGAAAAAAAATAAATAAAATATATATATATATATATATGATATATATATATATGATGTGTGTGTGTGTGTGTGTGTGTGTGTGTGTGTGTGTGTATATATAAACCACTATTTGTATCTGCCTTAGAAACAAATTGCATTACATATAAAGGTCTTAATTATTATGAAAAATCTATATTTGGTTGGGTGTGCCCACCTTTGGACTGGTAGTGTACACCACACTCACCTTTGACAATCTGTTTGGCGCAGCTGTTGTAGACCTGCTCTTGTGTGGTGTTGGTTGGAAAGACTCGGTCAAACACAAAGGACTTTCCCTGCAGGAATCACACAAACAAAAACCATACAATACAGTACAATAAGGTACAATAGAAATGCATCAGTGCATTGAAGTGCATCAGTCTAAAGATAGACATTGAACTGCCTCAGTTCAGTAAAGTATGAGCTCATTTTCTGGCCAAAACAGCCAAAGCTTGTTCATTGTTTTTATTGCCATATTCCACTACTGCATAAATAGTTCCTTCAGCATTATTTGTGTATTCAGTATATTTTAACAAATAACTCTGCATCATACTAAACAAATCAAATCGTGAAATTTTTGCATGGAATCATTTTCCTAAATAATTTTAACAGAGTCAAATCATTGAGAGAGCATATGCTCAAGTACACGTATTGTTACTGCAATGAAATGATAGGGTGAAGTAAAAGAACCCTTCTTGAGTCGGACCACAAAAGTAGCAGCTCGAAAAACTGCTGAGTAACGTTAGCACTAACTTCTTAGCACATCCAGCGCCTATCAGTACAGGAACTGAAGTTTATCAGGCTCTGTTCTTCACTTCTTGATGCACTCTTAGCCAAAAATAAAATGCCAAAACTCAAAAGTCAGAGGTGTGACCAATCAGCAAAGCAGTACAGATGCGGTCACCAACAAAACATAATGAAGATAAACACAAAAAGATTCCTCACAAATATACTTGAGTAAGTAAAATATTATCATCTGAAAAGTATACTCTGGAAAGTATAAATCCATCACAATTTGACTTAAAGGGCCCATATCATGGAAAACTGAATTTGCCTCACTTTTGTTTGATGTAGTATGAAAACACTGTTAAAGTCAGACCATTTTAAATTCACAGTTTTGTGATGTCACACACGTTTGTATGTAGCTGCCTATTCAGACTACAGCAGTTCAGAGCGTTTCAGCTTGAACTGCTTTTTGAATGAAGCGCGATACGGGGTAGCCAATCAGAACAGAGCTCATTTAGATATACCAGTCCTTAAGGCACAGCAACATGTACAGAACATTTTCAGTTCTAAAGGATAAAAGAGAGGCTGGAAATTGGTGATGTAAACATGAAATATATCTGTTTTTATTACACTGTATGTAAGTGTCTTAACTTGGTTATTATATGTTAGTTACTATGCAGCAATTAAATTTTGAGTTAATTGAACTTTAATTTTTAAGTTAACAGACAAAATCTGTGTTATACGTTGTGTTAATCTATTATTTGAAGTTCGACTGAACTAAAAATTTTATTGCAGCACAGTTACTGAATTACAGTTTATCTGAAACCACATGGCTGCCATATCGGTAGAGAAATTAAACTCCAAGAACAATTTAGGCCTTTAAGTATATGTAACCGAATATGCTAGTGGTGCTTGTGGACTGACAAGGTCAGATTTTATACTTAGGGATGGGCAATATAGCAAAAGATATAACACCATGATATTTAAGAACATTTTAATGATGCACGGTACAAATGACCATTTGATGAAATGTCCTACAGACAAAAATTTGTGTCCTATTTTAAAAAAAATACTATGAAAAACTGTCATTGTAATAATTTTTGCTCAGTGATTAATTTACTGCACTCTACTGAATCCAATTAAATATGACTAATTGCTGCCTACTTTGTTTTGTTTCCTCAGCCCCTCCACGTATGTACATATTCACATATTCATCTCTTTTAGCTCCTTAAAGATTGTCTGCTTTCTTTATTCTGTTTATTCTATCCTTAATTTATTTGTTTGTGAGTGAAATGTCTAATTTTTTAAAAATATTTGTTATAATAATAACATGTCTTTCGACGCTTCTTAAAAGTGAGCACTGAGATTGACTGTCTTATAAAAGGTGAAATTGAGCTCCACAATTTAAAAGCAGAATAACTGAGCGAGTCTCTGCATGTTTTCTGTATTTTACAAAAGGTGTTTGCAGAAGGTCAGTATCTGCAGATCTAAGATAACGTCCTGGAACATAGACAGACACTATGTGAAGTAAGCAGTGTCTTAAGGTCATTTTGAGCCTTCAAAACTAGTAGCAGAACTTCAAAATCCAACCTGAACAATACAGGCAGCCAGTGCAGCTCTTTACAGTGATCAACTTTGCTGTAACAAATGCATGAACAAGTTTCTCTGCGTCACTCTGAGAGAGAAAAGGCCGAACTTGTACTTGTCTGGTCTGTTTAGTATGTTACAGTATGTTATACATGTGTTCTCTCACCAAAATACATTCCTTGTATGTGAAATATACTTGGTGAAATAAAGTGATTCTGATTCTCTCTTTGTAATGAAATATGTAGTTGGTCAGTGTTTTTTAAGCACTGACAATATCCACCATCTGCTCAGAAAAGCATATTGTGATCTATCATGATAGTAATAAATTGTTATCTATAGCCCAGCCCTATTGACACCCATACAGTACTCACAGCCCACTGAGGAAAAACAGTTGGCCTTCCTCACATCAGCACAACAAGGCCTGCTTTAGACAAGCTTTCACTTTGTGCTGAACAGCACATGAGCAATTAGTCACAGTCCCTACTGACTGAGAGATCAGAGCTGAGGACATTGCACACCGATGAGAGATGAGAAAGGAGTGCTGGACAAGGCAATACATGAAAGCAAGCAAAGAAAGACAAAAAACAGAAGGAGGGGAAGGATCAATAGACGGATGGATAGGTTTTCAAAAAACAGGCTTACAGTAATTGACTGAGGTTTGCTGGTTCAGTCTAGCAGACACACAGACAGCGCACTCTAAGATGCACATACAGACTTCAGATTTATCGGGTTTGACTGGAGTATTGATCAAATATGAACTACAGACAAGGCCTTAAAAACTCCCCCGTACTGCCTGAGAGAAATCTAAAATCTCTATGGCATGGAGTGAATATTTTTTCTGAACACTTCTGTCACTCTGTGAGGCACAGTGTTTATAATTCTGAGGTTGCTAAGCGCACACACACACACACACACACACACGCACACACACATACGCACACACACACACTCCCCTCATCAGCTGCTTCACACTCATTAATTAGTCCCTCTACTTCCCTCTCCACAGGGAGAGCTGCTTTGAGCTTGCCTCACTAAAGCTACATCACAGCTGAGCTACAGGGCAAGCTCTCTCTCTCTCTCTCTCTCTCTCTCTCTTTCTCTCTCTCTCGCTCTTATTTTTACACTCACTCTTACTCTCTCTTTTGCTCTCTCTCTCTCTCTCTCTCTCTCTCTCGCTCTCTTTCTCTTTCTCTCTCTTTCTCTTATTTTTGCACTCTCTCTCTTTTTTGCTCTTCCTCTCTCTCTTTCTCTTATTTTTGCACTCATTCTCTCTCTCTTTTGCTCCCCCTCTCTCTCTCTCTCTCTTTCTCTCTCTCTCTCTATTCTTTCTCCCAGTGTCTCACTTTCTGTGTCTTTCTCTCTCAGTCTCTTTCTCATTCATTTAGGCTCATCTTTCAGTTGTTTAGGCCATATCTGAAGGGCAGGACACACACGTTGTAAAACTGTTTTATCCATTAGTGGAATCATGAATAGGAGTTTGTGTTCTGTCAGAGCACTCAGACTGTTTCAGGGATTGAGAATAAGTGGTGTGTTGATGCATGATTAGTGTCTGTGGATGTTACAGGTGTGTTATTTTTTCATTGGTGAATTTTTGTTAATTGGGATCTGTACTCTAGCACAGCAAAAAGAGCCTGGGTTTGATTCCTGGCTGGGCGACCAGGGTCCTTTCTGTGTGGAGCTTTCATGTTCTGCCTGTGTCTGCGTGGGTTTCCTCTGGGTGCTCCAGTTTCCTCCCACAGTCCAAAGACATGCAGTCAGTCCAACTGGGCACATTAAATTGCCCCTAGGTGTGAGTGTGTGTGTGATTGAGTATGTCGGTGTGTCTGCCCTGTGATGGACTACGACCTGTCCAGGGTGTTTCCTGCCTTCCACCTGATGACCACTGGGACAGGCTCCAACACATTCTCATTCTTTCTCTTCACTCTCTCTCTCAGTCTCTCTCTATCTTATTCTTTCACTTATCTGTCATTTTGTCAGTCTTATCTCTCTCAAAATCATCATTCTCTCCTTCACTCTCTTGGTCTTTGTTTTTCACTCTCTCTCTCCTTCTCCTTCTTCTTCTTCTCTCACTCTGTCTCTCTCAATCTGTCTCTCGGTTCTTGCTCCTTTTTTCTGTTTATCTCTCTCTCTTATTCTGTCTTTCTCACTTTTACTCTTTCTTTCACTCACTCTCTCTCTCTGCTCAGTCTCAGTCTCTCTCTCAGTCTCTTGTTCTCTTTCTCTCTCTGTCTGTCTACCTATCTTCTCTTTCTTTCTCTCACACAGTGTCTCAGTGTTTCTCTCTCACACACAGAATCTCAGTCTCTCTTTCTCTCTCTCTGTGTTTTGTCTTATTCTTTTGGTGGATTGGCTCAAGTGTCCTTACCAGAGTTATTTGTCAGCCCCTCTGTTTCTGAACCTGGGTGTAGCGAGGGGCAACTTCTCTTCATGGGTGGGTTGTAGAAGTTGCCTTTCTCAATAGCTGGTAAGAAGGCATTGTACCAGAGCTGTGTTAAATCCTTTCATTTCCATGAACCGAAAGAGAGATGGAATTCCTAATGGAGAGCCCATCCCTCTATCCCTGAGGGTCTGCAAGCTTCATGGAGGCTCCTGTACAAAAGCCCCTTGCCTAAATGTTCCAGAGGTCTCCAGTGGAGAATTCTTCACTGTGCTGTATCTGCTAATGATTTTGTGTCAAAGTTTAACCTCTTTATCTCCTTGGAACCACCGGTGGTTCCAAAACACACTTCGTCATATTCTTTACTTCATAACTTTGATATTTTATAAGCTTCATTCAAAAGGTAGGTGTTATATGAGAGCTGTAACTGTCTTCTTTTCAAACTAATAGATGGGTAATGTAATTTTAGAACGTTTATAATAAAAGAAGCTGAACTTTTTTTTTTCTACTGAAAGTTGACCCATTTTTCCACAAATCTTATAAACTGGATCTCAGATGGCATCTCTTCAGTGATCTGCTCTGTAAAAATTTGTTTTATAAAAAAAT